TTTACAACATCGTGTGACCTTGCCTGGTTAGTTTGGGTTCCTTGTGTTGTGTGAACCTAGACCGTTGTGTTCATGCAGCAACTAAGTGAAGAGCTGGAGGGCATTTTCTAGGGAGAGTCAGTTTCTGCAAGATACTTGTCCCCTCTTATATTGTGCCCCGTCACCCACGGGTGGAGCCCTTTGCGGGCACACAACAGGCCAGGCTCCACTAAAATATAGTTGCATCATTTGTGATTTGTTGTGGGAATCCTGCCTTTCGCTGTTGAGAACGTTATCAGCCCCTTTAGGGCCTAGAAAGAGAAACAGAGTGAAATTCAAAAACTTTTAAGCCACTGGCACACTGGGAGAAAAAACGCATTCTTACGTTGCGCAAAACCTTTGTCAGCGTTTAGGAAAATGCATTCTAGACATAGATTCTCTTGAGGCTTCCCCTTCTCCTGTCGTAGGGCCTTGATTGGTTTGATGTGCCTGGAAAAGTCTCAGTAACCCTGGTTGAAAAGATCAGGAATCTTCAAAGCCGCCTCCGTCTCCGTTTGAAATGCCTGGGTTGGGGTCTGCTGCTTTTTTCCTTCTTCTTCCGCTTTGCTTTTTCTCTTTTTCCTTTGCTCTCTTCCTGTGATCAGGGCAGCGCTCTACCCTCCCAGCTGAGACATGCGCCCTTGTTCGCCTGCACTTTCAATTAAAGCTTTGTTTTTGTGAAGGAAAGCTTAGAAGGGAGGACAGAACGACTGGGTTTAGATGTGAGACTTCTGACACATGAAAGAGGAAAGCAGAAAAAAAAAAAACCCAAACCACACGAACTGCTTATCAGAATTTTCCACTACCGATCACAGACAGAAAAGGTGATGATGGTGGGTGACAGGGAGTTGAGTACTGGGTTGAGAGGCAGAGGCCAAGAAGACCAACCACAACTCTTGAGGATGCCTCTACAACTCACACTTCTTGTGTCGTAAAAAATGTTCCCCAGTGAATCCCACAGCGCTCTTCCAAAACAGCCTTCTTCCTTGGCTGTGCAGCTGATGGCCCTAGATTCCTCTGAAGCTTTGGCTGTCTTCCTAAGCTCTCTAGCACGGAGAATCCCATAAGGAGCACTGTCGCTTCTCAACCACAGATCTTCTGGGATGGGAAGCTGGGGGGGTGGAACCCTTCCTTCCCATGCCATTTCTTCAAATTTCATGCCAACTTTCATGCCAGAAATTTGAATCCTGAACATCCAACAGGACTTTGATGGTGAAGGTGGTGGACTTGGTTCAACCTTCACATCTCTACCTGTGTTTCTACCTACCTTCCGTCCTCTGAGGCCAATTTTCTTTGTTTATTGAAGTGTTCTCATTTGACTTCTGTCTTTTTCTTTTAATATCTCTCCCCCCCACCCCCTTAACCCCAATTCTCTGTGATGGGTACTGCTGTGTCGGTTTTCCCACCTGGTTTCATCCCGAACGACTCTACCCATCTGATCAACAGAGGAAGCTGCGCTGGGATATGTGAGGAACCAATTGGCATCCTGGTTTGGTTTGAGTACTAAATTGTGTGAGCTTCTGCTGGTGCTCAAATCTGCATGTGGAGGACTCCATGATGCGAGTCAGCTTGCCCTTTTCCTAACACCGCTGGTGTGGTTTTAGTGTTGGCTTCTCTAGCAGACAAAGGAGCTCTGCCTCTGTGGTCCTCTTCCATCTTAGGTGGCCCCAGACACAGGCCTGATGTTCATGTCTGGCATTGGGTTGGAGAGAATTCAAGGTGGTCGAATTCCATGGAAGCAGTGGGGTCTCTCTAGCAGCCCTGTTTTTAAGGGAGTGGATATTTTCACAGAGAGAGTGTAACATGTAGCTCGGCTCTGTTCTTTTTTTAAAAAAAACAAAGCATTATGGGCTTTTGGTGGGGTGGAAACTTGATGTTTTGGCAACTCACTCTTCAGGGTTTTTTTCTTTTTGATGGAAAGGCAGAAAAGAGCCACATCAAGTAATTTAGTGGGTTAGTTGAGGGTCTATAGCAGTG